AAAAAATGTTTGCTATAATTATAGCTGTCGTCCAAACCAAACTTGTTTGGGACTTTGTAACTTTCTAGAGTATTAACTACAGTTATATAATAAGTTTGGTTTTGGGACGTGTTTGAATTGGGAACAAGTTTGGGACTTAAAACTTATAAATTGGGATTTGGACTAATGGTTATAACTAGTGATGTGCCGCGTATAGTACTGTATTGTACTTAAAAATTTTTTTAGAATAATTCATAAAAGTATGCATATCTCAAGTTTTTGTTTATTAAACTGCCTTTCGTGTTCTAATTAAAATTGTTCCCCGACGTATTTGACATATAGTTTATTTTATATATGTTATGCTTACTATGATCATTGAATTGCTATACGCTCTATACAGCTATACGTACTATTCTTTAATCTACCCGCTATTGCTTTATTTGCCATATTTAATTTATGAAAAAGTTGCATACAATCATTTAAACCGTAGTTACAGATATTTGATTACTATATTATATGATCTAATTACGAAATTAATTTGCGGTTTAAAAATGGCAACAATTTAACATACCCTTCTAAATCTTTTTTCATTTTATCCCACCCCATTTTCGTTCTGGTGATGTATACGTCCTCTTCCCAGGATGGATGACTTATATTCACACGTACTTCCTCCAATGTTTGTTTTCGTGTACAAAATCCAATTAATGCATCGATATTTTTCTCAAAGTTAATATTACTTCTAATACTTAACGAAAGTTCGTTTAAATGTGCATCACAATGGTTAAGCAAAACATTAATGTGCAAATCTGATAGATTATTGATAATCTCAAGGTGTTGCAATGCCGATGGTAACATTTCAACAAAGTGCATAATATTTGTATTCATCACTTCTTCTGATTCATCATCAATCCAGCCTAAGGTGAGAGTGTGAAGTCTTTGCAAACGACTAATAAACTTTAGGAATAGAGAGGAATGTTTAACGGGTGAAATGTAAATATAAGTGATGTTTGGACAGAAATCCATAAGAGCTTCTATTAATAACGAAAATGAATCAATTTCCAGCATATAATTATCAACTTTAAATCGTTGTAATGTTATACCAGACTTTTTCAAAATTGGTAATATATAGTGTAAGTCAATCGAGGAGTAATCATTAGCTATTTCTAAATTACTGATTTTGCAAAGACTAGTATTAAATATTTTAAATATTTGCTCTCCACCTGCGCAAGATGAGAAATAAGAAACTTCTAAATTTCCACAATTCATTATTGCGTCAAACTTATAACCAGAACGATTATATATTGTAATTTTGTTTAATGCTACTTTTTCACTTTCTAAAGCTAAAATGACATCACAAAATTCGGTTGGTAATTCTCTATAATCCGCAAATTTAATTTTTAAATGTTCACAATTCATTAATGTGTTAAACTCTGCCCTATAAGAAAATAAACTATTTATAGTAATTTTTTTTAATGATTGTTCATAACTTCCTAAGGCTAAAATTACACCATAAAATTCGGTTGGTAATTCTCCAGAAGATAAAAAATATTTATCCTGAAATTCAGTATCGATCTCAAAATTAAAATATCTAAGCTGTTCTTGTGATTTGATAATACTTTTAAATATGTTGCATAGTGGTCCATGAGAATCATAACAAACTTTAATCGCCATCTTTGTAATTTTAGTAGCACTTTTTGCCAAAATTCTTAACAATTTAATAGCCTTTTCAAGTAATAATATATTATCATTTTCATTGAAAAATGCTTCTAATGATCCCACTAATATAATACGAAGTCGCGAGAAAAAGTGCGTATTTCTCTCTAATAAGCAAAAGATCTCTGGTTTCAATAAGCAAATGATCTCTGAATTTGTTCCATAGAAATAACCATTAGAATATAAATCCAATTCAGTCAAAGTGGCATCAGCTTCTATAAATATTTTAAACAGTAAATTAACTATATCGTATTTTAATTCATCAGTATTTTGAAAGTTGATCCATTGAGTAATTTGATGCTGAAAGTCGATCCATTGAGAAATTTGGTGATTTAGAAGATGTAAATCGAGAACTTCTAAAAAACTTGCATAATTAAACAGTGTATTAGAAAATTCAACAATTAAACCATACTTATTTAAAATAGATTTTCCTTCATCGTCAAGGGATGAAAAGTATGTAGATATGAATGTTGGATTTTTTTGAAATTCTGATGGCAATGAATTTGGATTTTTACCAAATGAAAATGGATCTCTCCAAAGAATAGGAATTGAGATTTTACACCAATGCCGGCTCACAAGTGCGCATGAATATAAGGAATTAATATCGTTATCTAAATTTTTAAGGATTTTTTCCATTAATTCGGGCATATCGCCCATAAAGATTTTTGATGCCATGAGAAAGATCGTTATAAAAATTCAACTGATTTTTTTCCTTTTATTCACATTGTAATACGTTACGCATGCATAGTAATACGTAATCACGTTGATACTTATTGCTAATTTTTTTTTTTACAAAGCTACTGTTACTATTGTTTGGGAGAGCGTTATACAATTGTGTGCCGGTTTAACTCCAATAGTTAACTTGGATTGTTAATATCTACGGATTTTATAGAGTCTTAGTCGTTTTATATCGATTATGTTCACGTGATTATAAAATTTAATCCTATCAAGGAGTTTCGGGTGATTAGTTTAACGGGGTCGATTAAAGTGATTAGCACCGATATTGATATAATTAATTGTGACGTTATTGATCAATTTACTAAAGATCGGGGTTAGTCAATGTATTAAATGTATGACTAATCAATTTAATCGGAGTACAAGGGTTTAGTTCATATGGTATAATTATTCGGAGTTAGATTATATAGCGGATAATTAACGAAGTAAAACGGTTATCAATGAAAATAAAAAAAAAAAAAGAAATTCGATAATAAAAGAAAATTATTCATTCAATAAGCTTTTCAATTTTAACACTTTGAGAATCCGATTCCTAATATCTTTCTTATATTCAAGACATCGAAGTCTGCTGAAACTTTATTAAGGCAGAAAGTTAGGGTATATATACATTTTTGGTCTATAGTTAATTACATATGCGTTATCCTACTGTCCTACTTGGAACTATTCTACCGTTAATCTTATTTCGAAATATCTCTACCGTTAGCACTATTTCGTTATGACTCTTTCGTTATTCCCCTTTCGCTTTCTAATTTAGGTAATTAACTATCACAACTACCTTAATAAGCAGAAGATAAGCAATTGACATATAGGGGTAATAATGTATTACGAAAAAAGGAAAAATAAGAAAATAATAAACAAACAAAAAGAAAATATCGTGATATAAAAGCCTCCTAATCAACTAAACAACACATCTAACCGTAACATACTCCCCCTCTTAAATCTGAGCTCCTGCGAAGTTGTTTAAAACGTCAACCAACTCATTTTCAAAAATTAGTTGGGCCTCCTTAACCAGGGTCTCATAATTAGCTTCAGATAATCAGTTCAAAGCATTAGCAGTAATATGTTGGACAGCTGAGAGATTATGGGTTCCCCTGGCGCGATATAACTGGTATACACGGGAGGCTGTCTTCCAAATATAACGGTAATTACTAACTGAGAAGTTATTCTTAATAAATTTTTTAGCTTCGGAGTCTCAGAGCCTTTCATTTAGACGTTCTTCCAAGATATAATAAGACTGAAGGAGGGAGATCTGATCTAACCGGTTCTTACACATCTTATCCTTAATAGAGAGGACTTGCTCTTCCCAAGTCTCGCCTTGGAGCTCTTCAAAGGGTCGGATGGGGACATCAGTTCTCTTTAGATTTTCCTTATATAAGGACAACCGAGCCTCTTCTAAGGGATTAACCGTGATTTTTTCTGCGAATAATAAGTTCACAGGTTCTCCCTCATGGTTAATTAGGGATACTTCACTAGGAGTAATTCTTATTTCGGTGACCGAAGAGTTTTTTATTAATGTCCTAAGCTAGCAGATGTTTTTAAGAAACTTAGGGGTTACTAAGAAGGATTCCATGGTTATTGATGAATTGGACTTGAGCCAAATCCATCCTTTTTATAAGAGCGAAGCTCTTTTGTCACAGGGGCGTGTTGTATTTCTTTAACCTGTTTCCATGTACAGGTTTCTTAAGAACCTTTTCATTTGATTGTTGCTTATCTCTAACATCTTTGTTTATTGTTCGCAATTTATAGGTATTATTACCATATACGTCATGAACGTAATAGGGGCCTGAGAATTTTTCTTCTAATTTTGCGCTATAAGAAGTTTCTAGTGAACTTTTATAGAGCAAAACCTTATCGCCGATCAGGTAAGTTTCTATAGAATGTTTCTTATCGTGATAAGCTTTTTGTTTTTGTTGAGATTTTCTTACATTATTGCGTGCTTCTTGTCTTGCAGATTCCAAATTCCCTATTAATCTTTCTACTCTTCGTGAGATTAGATCTTGAGTTTCCAATTCCGTAACGGGTTTAGGGGGATAAGTAGAGATAATGGTCTCGATGGGGAGTACCGCATCTCGTCCATATACAAGAAAGAATGGTTCATATCTTGTAGTATGATGACGAGTGGTTCTATATGCGAACAGTGCTGCGGGGATATAATCTTCTCAGTCACCTGAATACTGCGCAACACATTTGGCTAAGACCTCGCACAGGGTCCGATTAAACCGCTCTACCATACCATTAGTTTGAGGATAGTAAGCAGTAGAGGTCTTATGATGTATTCTCATTTGGTCGCAAAGGGAGCTTACTAGCTTATTAAGAAAGTGCGTCCCTTGGTCTGATAATAATTCACGTGGGCTCCTATGCCTACAAATTATGTCGTTGAAAATAAACGATGTGACTGACTCGGCATCAGCCTTTTCTAATGCACATGCTTCCGGCCACCTGGTAAGGTATTCGGTAGCCACAACTATATACTTTTTATTATTACTTGTTATCGGGAGAGGCCCTACTATATCTATCCCGACTCGGTTAAAAGGTTGGCCTATTTTTATGGGATGGAGAGGTTCTTTGGTCTTCGGTCTTCCCTGTCTTTGGCAGGAGTCACATGACTCAACATACCTTTTTATGTCCTCACCCATCTGTGGCCAGTAATACCTAACCGTGACCCTTTGGTAAGTAGCCTCTTTACCAAAATGTTCCGCCAAAGAGTCAGAATGCATGGTGTGAAGTATAGGTTCTATCTCATGTGGTCGTAGAACCTGTAAAAGTTTGTTTTGATCCCGACGGTTTCATTTATATAATAATCCGTCTCTAATAAGGTAATATCGGGTTTTTAATTCTATTAATTTTTCTGTATGATGAGAAAGACAACCTAAAAATAGAAGAAAAAATTAGAAAAATTAAGAACAATAAAAGATTAGACGTTAGTATGTG